CCTGCTCAGCAGGGAGTCTGCTTCTCCCTCTGACCCTCCTCCCTCTCATGCTCTCTGTCTCTCATTCTCTCTGTCTCAAATAAATAAATAAAAATCTTAAAAAAAAAAAAGATAAGCAATGAGTCAATGCAATAAAGCTGATCATCATTTTCTCAGTAAACTCCATATAAGAAATATTTACTAAGCCCCTCCCTACTATGCTTGAGACACAGAGATAAGATGATAAGCAACACAGACAATCCTTATCTTCACGGTGTTCTGCCTGCCGGGCAAGACATTTACTCAAACAATAATGTGAAAAAAAACACGTGCTATGCCTGAGCAACTACATATAGCATTTTACCCAACAAGTCTAGGAAATTGAGGAAACGTTTCCAAAAACAAAAAAAAAGTAACCTTTAAATGGAACTCTGAAGGATGAGTAGGAGTTAGCCAGATAAAGACAGAGGGGAGAATACTGCTTTAGCCAGGAGGAACAACTCATCCTGCACTAGCCCACAGGCAAGAGTTAGCAGCTAGAGAGGGCTGAAATCCAGAGTGTGAGGAGGTAGTGGGGGCCAGAGCTGTTACATAATAATACAAGTCAAAGAACTTGGACCTTGTCCTAAAGGTAATGGGAAAACTGCAGGATTTAAGCAAAGAAGTGACAAATATATATATGTACACATTTGCAGATGTTCAATCTTACTTCCAAAAAATTGTGCAAAGATATGAAAATTAGAGTGAGCTCAGACACTACAGAATAAGAAATATATATGAGTCATAGAGAAAATTCAAGTTAATAAGGGCAGGAAACAATTCATGCGTCAACACTTCTGGCTTACTTCTGAAAACTGGTCATTTTTGTGGTACTGATAGCAAGTACAGAAATTACATTCAACACTGAGCTTCATCACTCTAATTGACCATAAAAGAGAAAACAAATTCAATTCAGTATAAGCTTTAATATGGCATTATTTTAAATACTATCCTAATAGAAAGTTAAAAATGTAAAAATGTAATATCACTAAATTATATATATATTAAGTTGACCCTTGAGCAATGCTGGGGTTAAGGGTGCCAGCTACCGCCCCCATACTGTCAAAAATCCACATATAACTTTTGGCTTCCCAAAAACTTAACTACTACTAGCCTACTGTTGACTGGTAACAAACAGTCAATTGACACATATTTCATATGTACTTTATACAGCATTCTTACAATAAAGTAAGCTAGAGAAAATAAATGTTAAGAAAATCATAAGGAAGAGAAAATATATTTGCATATAAGTGGACCCATGCAGTTCAAACCTGAGTTGTTTAAGGGTCAATTTTATATAAATGACATACATATCATAGCCTAAAATAGCAGCACACTTCTATCACATATAAAAGATTTTCTTTTTTTTTTTAAAGATTTTATTAATTTGAGAGAGAGAGAGAGCATGAGCACAAGTTGGGGAAGGCAGAGGGAGCAGTAGACTCCCTGCTGAGCATGGGGCCCATGGAGCTGGATCTCAAGACCCTGGGATCATGACCTGAGCTGAAGGCAGTCGCTTAACCAACCGAGCCACCCAGGCGTCCCAAAGATTTTCTTAATCGTATTTGGGAAACATCAGGATATCATCCAACTTTAGGAAGAAAATCTAAATAGAATATAAGTGTAGTTGTCATAGTCATGGTCGTCACCATGATTATCCCCCAGAAAGTGTTTTGACAGACTTAAAGTCTTGAAGTCACAGACTATCTATTACAGAATGGCATTTACTTTGTCTAATTCCAACAAAATTGTGCTAGCCAATTCAGAAGACAGACAAATTATAGCTTATAAATCCCTGGGCCAGGGGTCAGCAGATATGGCTCAGTTCTGTTTTATAAATAAAGTTTTATTGGAATGCAACCATTTATTTATTTATGAACTATCTATATGTTCTCATTACAATAGCTGAGTTAAGTGGCTGCAACAGAAACAAAAGCCCATAAAGCCAAAAATATTTACTAGCTGGCCCTTTATTTAAAAAGGTGAATATGGGGCACCTGGATGCCTTAGTTGGTTAAGCATCTGCCTTTGGCTTGGGTCATGATCTCTGAGTCCTGGGATCGAGCCCCGCATCAGGCTCCCTCCTCAGTGGGGAGTCTGCTTCTCCCTCTCCCTCCCTCTGCTCATGCCTCCCCCTTTCAAATAAATAAACAAATAAATAATATTTTTTTAAAAAAGAATAGCAAGGAAGTATGTGTCACTTTTATGTATTTCTAAACTAAAATTTATATATCCCCAATTCTGTGGTGGAAACAAGGACAAAGCAGCTATAACCTTGTACTTAATCAATGATATATATACACAGTGGTGATATTATGAAGGTTATGAAGACTAAAATCCTAGTAATAAAAGCTTTGAGTCTCGTTCTACCTAGCTAACACAAGATGTATATTGATATTCTCTTCTTCTTTCTACTATCCTTATTTCTTATATTTTCTGCAGATACATACAGATAATTTTTTAAATAAGAATATGAAAACAATAATAATAAGCCTGATTTTTAAAAATAAAACTAATTCAGGGAATGACCCACTTTGAAATAATGATTATCTTCAATTTTGGCCACTCAATTCTTCAAATCTAGGAAATATGGATCCTAAATATTTGTGAGTATAAGTTGTCATAAACATGAATAAAAGAGTCAGAAAATTATTTAATGAGTCATCCTACAAGAGGAAAATTATATAGCACACGTACTTGCAGCAGCTTGTTTCTTCCAGTGAAAGGCTGAGTTTGACTCGTAGGAGAAGCAGCAATGCCTTTAACCTCTAAATCCATTCAAGTTCACGTCTGCAGTATACTTTGAAAAGGGTAAAAAAACATACAAAATGATAACTCTTACTCTAATTTTAAACTAGCCATACAAGCTACATAATACTACTTCATGGAAAGAAATCATGTGGTTAATCATTCTTACTTCTTTCACCAAAATCAACTTTTTGTGGGGCAATTACCTTATGTGGGGCAACATTTATGGGGCAAATGCTAGTCTGAATAGGGTTCCTCTGAAGATGTCCATGTGCTAATCACTGGACCCTGTGAATATGTTTACCTTACATGACAAAGAAGACTCTTCAGATGTGATTACGTAAAGGATTTTGAGGTGTGGAAATTATCCTGGATTATCTGGAGGGCCCAATGTAATCACCAGGGCCCTTATAAAAGGGGGGCAGGATGATCAGAGGAAGAAAGAGAGGATGTAAGAAGGAAAGCCAGGTTAGAGAGGAGTGAAGATATTAGATAGCTAGCTTTGAAAATGGAGGTAGAGGTCATGAGCAGTCTCTGCAAGTTAGAAGAGGCAAGGAATGAATTTTCCCCTGGAGCCTCCAGAAGGAACCAACCTTGCTAACATCTTGATTTTAGCCCTGTAGGACTCATTTTGTGCTTCTGACCTCCAGAACTGTTGTTTCAGACCACTATGTTTGTGGTAATTTTTTACAGTAGTAATAGTAATAGGAATTTTACAGTAATAGGAAACGAATGCTTGTACTTCTCTACCACAAAGTGATGTAAATTTATTTTCTTTACTCTCTTCCTAAACCTTTATGAGTTTTGATTTTGCTGCAGTAAGCAGATGAAAAAATGTGTTAATGCAAACAGTATTCTCTGATACAAAGAATAAAATAGAATGGATGGTCCAATTAGCAATTATGAGGCGACTGGTAAAAATGCATGTAAGAGAAGGTTGAAAATAATCAACTTGAACAAAAATGTATAAAACAAAAATCAGGTGAATATCTCAGTCATGCAAATTTTGAAGATTTTTACACTTCAATCTTATATTACTGAGGATACGTTGTTTAACAATTCATACTTTCTTTTTCTATTATTAGACTTGGAGTTATTTTAATAGTAAACTTTTTTTTTAATTTTTAAGGAAAGATAGCATGGCATTGTGTCAGCATAGAGTTAGACTGACATTAAAATCCTCATTTTTGACACTTCCTTGTAATGTAAGCTTGGGCCAACATTTCTAGTGTGTAAAATGAGTTTAATGTTAGCACCTTTCTCATCTCCCTATATTAGGTAAAACATGGTTATTCAATACATGGTAGCCATCGTTGTTACTATTAAAATGTAGTTTTACTGAGGCCCAGTGAAATCCTGAAAGATATCCCAGCTCTTCACTAATTTATCTGTATGGCTCCATTTACCCAATTCCATAGCCCCCCTCCCTAAAGCCCCACACCCCAAGACTAGATTTCTACTCTAAGAGTAATCAACAGTAGACATATTCTGAAAACATCACAAATCATTCAATTTAAAAATAATTTGACTTTTTTTTTCTGAGTTACCTTTCACAAAGAAGCAACTTTTTAAAGTTGTTATTGTTTTGGTAGGGGGTGGAGAGAAGGCTGTTGTTTGCTTTTAATCACATCACAAAAGCTGTTGTATTTGCCATGAAGATTAGCAGCCAACAAACCCAAGTTGAAATAGGGGTGCTGAGCAATCAGCTAAGTGCTTTTCTCCACACATCAACTACACAATTATTTATACCTTAGAAACTATTGTAGCCATTTCAAATCACTATAGGTCACTTTAAATAACCATCATTCATTTGCAAATAACAAAAACAACAAAATTTAAATCCTCTGTCCAGGACCTTCTAGTCCCTGTACTTCCCCAAGCTTGACAGTCATTACTCTTCACTTATCATTAACTCTTTTCATGTCCCTAATAAACTGTCAAGTCCATGAAGGTTGGTGTCGCATGTCCTTAATATAGCAGATACTTAATAAATATTTATTTAGTCAATAAAGAAATTAATGCACAGTCAAATACCTGTACACATTTTAAACATATTCTTCATTTCCTTTCTCTGAACCTAACTATGACAGGATCACAATGCCACATATAAATTCTGTCCTCAAACAATAGATAAAGCATTCAAAGCATGAATGGTAGTTATTACTCTTTACACTATACTGTAAGCCTCATAAAGGCAAGGGCTATGGTTCTGCTCACCTTGTATCTAAGCATTTAACAGAAAGCCTAGAAAACAGTAGGAACTTAAATATTTGTTAAGTAAGTGAATTCAGTCAACTCAGACAGGAGTTATTTCAGAATTATGTAGCATACAAATGGTTCATTGGATATAACAGGAATATTCAAGGGGCAACCATCATTTGTGGAACACTCCAGGATCTATTACAATCCAGAATTAGAGCTATGAAGCTACTGACACCTTATGTCAAAGAATCTTGAGATTTGGACAGGACTGCAGAGATAAAACAGCTCGACCTTCTGATTTTCAAACTGAGGAATCTGAGACCCCAAAACGGGCACATTTACCTTGCCAAATTATTTGCCAGTTATTACTGAGCATGAATTTACACCAGTTTCAGACCTCTTTCTAATACTACACCCTTGCTTATACAGGACAGAAGAAAGAGGGGAGTTAGCTGCAGAGACTCAAGAGCACCAGAAACCTAAAATTGGTGGCAAAAGAATCAGAATTTCAAATAAATGGCATGTGAGCAGATCTTTGGAATGCATACCAAAGTTTGTCCTGGTCCTATAGCATGGAATATACAGTTGGGTTATGCTGGGGACGAGAGATGGTAGGAGCAGGGAAAAGCACTTCTGAATGGCTCTGTCCCCACCCAATCTGCTGCCAAGTCATGAGATATTACAGCTAGCATGTAATGAATATTGTTGACTAACAGATTCAAATCTTACCATATTATCTTTATTGCTACCAAAAAGAACTGAACTCACCTCCCACTTCTCTCATTTTTTAAGGATGATTATTTCCAATTGCAATTATCACCAGTTCTCTTTTGGTTAGTGACATTAGTGGTTATAATTTGCTTACACCAAATCAGAACATAAAGCAAAGTGAAGAATAAACTGATCCAATCCATCCCATAATCAAGGAAAAAGGAAAAAGTTTTAGTATTTAACCTCCATGCAGGTGAGGACCAAGTTTATCTTGGGGCCCAGGTGATAACAGACCCAAGTATCTGAATGAACCTGGCATCATTCTTAATTTCATAGTAATTGTCTGTACATCCACTCCCCACAAAGTTAAGATTATACATCATTGCACCTGCAAAGTACAACTAATGCTCCGCCCTCTTCCTATCTTAGATTCATGGACTGGGGTGGGACACACGGGACATCCAACCTGACTTGACCCAATAAGCTGGGTAAAGAGCAGTTCCACAGTGGGAAGGATGAAAAAGTTATCAACGAGGGCAAGTCCACCGAGAACCTCCAGACAGGACAAGCTGGAAAGGTACAGTTCCCAGTAGACTCCAGCAAGCCCAGGCCCGCGGCTGCAGGTTGCCTAGCAACAGGCGTCCCCACGCCGGGCCGCCAAACCCTCTCTCCCTTCCAGGGAAGAGATGATCATCGGCCCAAATCTTTCGTTCCTTCCACGCCACCTCCTGCCCCATGCTGTGTAGGGTCGTTTCTCCGACAACCCGGCCCGCGCCGCGAGCAACCCAGCCGAGGTACTTACCGGAGGGCGGTGTTGAAAACCTTATAGCGGCCTCTGAGCCTCGTCCGGGGACTAGTTCCGGGGCGTCTCTAAATCCCGGCGGGGATCTGGAAGAGGACTCACTCATCTGGGCTTCTTCGACTCAGAGAGAGAGAGCCAAAGCCCGGCCCGGATCCAGACGGCTGTTGTATAATTCTTCTTTAAGTGAGTTCTATTTAACATATTTTATAGAGCATCTACCAGGAGTTCAGATCCCAGAGAGATGTAATGAGGGGAAAAAATTATGTTGTAATATCCACTCTCAAGGAACTTGCAATTATTTAAAAAGACAAGACCGCTTTATAGTATTATAGAGAGATATATAATTATATATACATAAATATATAGATGTATAGAGATATAAATGAAAATTCTAATACAATGGAAAGGGAACAAGCCTAGGAATCAGGAAATTTCCATTTTATTCTTTGCTCTGCATACAATGTCTTTGGTCATCAACTCATCAATAAAAGGAATGGTCTGGTTTGAGAAATTTCTTAGGTTCCATTCCACTGTAATATACCCATAACTTTTCTGAATTACACAGCCAAGTGTCAGATACTCAAAGTAGAACTAAGACCCTCTGAAGCCTAATCCAGTTCTCCAACCACAAAATCAAGTTGTTTTTCTAATCTAGAGAGTCTTTTCAAAGTTAGCTCCCCTAAAATGTATATATTTAAATTTGCAGGTTGGAGTCAGTTTTGTAGTAAAAATACAAATATATATATTTGTATTGCAATGTGTATAAGGTAATTAACTCCTTCTATTTCTTCCTTATATAAAATTCATCCACCCATTCCCCCCTCACAGAAAGAAAAGCAAAATTAAACTGGAAAAAGAAAGTAAAAATGAAACAAAAAACTCAACTTCAAATTGTAAAAAGTTTTTAAAGAACTTAAACAATTCCAATGCCCAACTAACCTTGCCCATTCCACAGATAAATATTCAAGAAAATAACATGAGGACGTATCCTTCCTGGCACTTAAGCTTATTACACCTAAATTGCTTCAGTATTCCTGAATATAGTTCTCTAAGCCGTTAAGATTATGGTCTAAAAAGCACATTTATACAATCCAGACATTGTGTCTATTACAAAAGCAATAATACTGGATTATTATTGATTATATAGAGAGAGGAGAAACACATTTTCCTCTTACCCTTTGAGTTCTTCCAGCTGGTTTAAGAATTAAACTGACACAAGACAGACAAAAGGGAAAAAGATAAGGCATGTGCACACAGGGGCCCAATAATGAAATTGAGACCTAAAGAAATGACCAAAGCAGGCAGTTTTTATACTTTTTGGACCAAGAGACAATAAATCTGTGAAGTATTGAGAAAACAAAGAAAACTTAACTTTGGGACTTTAGTAAATTATTCTAAGCAGAATTTGGGCTGGGATAGTATATTAGTAAAAAGTAACAAGGGTGGTTTATGCAGCCTTCTGGGCTCTAAATTTCCTCTCTGGTGATAAAGATGTCTCTTACGTCCTGATATAGGAAGGGTCCTTTCACATGGGACATTTATTTCTTGCTTTCTGGAAACAAAGCAGGGAGCAGGTAGGAGTGTTCTTCATTGGCTGTTTTTTAAGTAACTTTTTTAAAAATAATCAGTATAACAAAGTGGCACATTTTGGGGGTGGCCTGCCTTTAGCCCATACATATAAATTGTACATTTTTGCCAATTTTCAAAACAATTAATCATAAAAGTTCTGCTGTTATTACAGCCAATTAATTTCTTCATACACAAAACAATACTAAATTAGCCATATTTAACCTAGATTATTTGCAGATCTAAAATAATCTGCATTTGAAGGTCAGCAAACATCCATTGGACACCTACTATCTGCAAATATATCCAGTGTTAGAAAAAGTAAAGTATATAAGCCAACCTAGTATTTACTGCCTTTCAAACTGAGTTTAAAATATTTATTGAGCCTCTAGTATGTATGTGATGAATAAGATAGTTCTTAAAGAAGCTTACAATTGTATACAACATTATTAGAAAATTAAGGAGTGCTCATTTCCTAATTAATAATATTTATTGAGGGCATAAGTGTTCAGTAGCTGTTCTGGGATCTATAGATAGATATAGCAATAAAGCAAATAAAACCATTGTTTCAGTGAAGGTTAAAATCCGAGGCGACAAACATTAGATAAATAAATAATATCATCTCAGGTAGCAATTAATGTGAAGAAAAATACAACAGGTTACTGGAGAGACACTGACAGAAAGGACAAATTGTAGGATCATGTATGGCTTTGCTGAGGGGAATTCTGCAGACAAAGAGAACAGCAAGTGCAAAAGGCTTGGGGATAGAGCATCCTTTTCAAGCAGATAGATGTGGCTGAGGCCAGGTGAGCTAGTGGAGAATGTAGACTAGAGGGCAGAGATTAGCCATGGTCAGACTAAATTGTGCCTTGTGGACCAAACCTAGGATTTTGGATTTTATAAGTGTGACAGAAAGTCATCAGAGGGTTTTGGAAAGAGAGGAGGCTGTGATATTGTGATTTATCATAAGAAATATATATTTGATCTTCCTCCCTGTTTCTGGCACAGAGCTCCTAAAACCCTTGGAATTTTCCTAAATGTTAAGAGCAAGGAACATTCTTTTGTTATTTTAATGAGGTGAATCTTAGAAATCACTTATGGATGGAGGCTGGCTGCCAGTGAAGCCAAGCCTGTGATTGGAGTTGAAAGTTTCAGTCCCACCCTCAGTCCTCCTAGGAGGTGACAGGGGCTAGAGGTTGAATTAATCAACCACGGCCACGGAGTTAATCAATCTTGCGTTTGTGGTGAAGTCTCCAAAAGTACCCCCAAAGGACAAGGTTCCCAGAGCATTCTGCTTCCAGAGTGCAACATAGAAATTCTGCCTGAGTTTCTAGCCTTCAGACTCAAGACTACAACATCAACTCTTACCCCAATCTTCAGCCTGTCAGCTTGTCCTACAGATTTTAGGCTTGCTAGCTCCTACAATTGTGGGAGTCAATTTCTTTAAAATCTGTGTGTATGTATCTGTGTGTGTAAAAGGGAGTGGGGTGGGAATATATGTCTATTAGTTCTGTTTCTCTGGATAACTCTAATACAGAGGGGAAAAGAGAAATAAAGTAATCAGATATAGGATCATGAAGTGATTTAATGACAAAAGATTCCTTCTAATTGGAGGACTTCATAAAAGGAACTAATGATTTGGGTCTTAAAAGATTCATTTATTAATTTGTTCATCAAATATTGAACTCTTTTGAGATGCTGGGGATACAGGAGTAAAAATAATAATAATAAGCAATCCCTGCCTCATGGGGCTTCCACTCAATTGAAGGGAGAAATGAAAATGTAAATAAATTACATATGATATGAGGATAAGGGTTATGGGGAAATATAAGGCAGAAAAAGGACAATAGGAAGTGATAGGTGTAGGATGGGTAATGTAAAATACCACTGTGAGGTCTTTTGAAAAGATGACATTTGAGCAAATATTTCAAAGAGATTAGAAACTAGCCATGTAGCTTTCTGGAAGAAGGAGTTCTAGGCAAAAGAAGTGAGCAAATGCCCTGAGGCAGCAGGACCTTCACTTTTTTTAAGGAACAATAAAGGGGCCAGAGTATCTGGAGGAGAGAAAAGGAAGGGAAAGGAAGTAGATGAGATCAGAAAAGGGCCTCTTCAGTTAGGGCCTTGAAGGTAATAGTGAGGATAACCTTGGGATTTTGTTTTGACTGCCATGGAAAGCCATCAGTTGGGAGGTTTTGAGTAGAGGAGTGATCTGACTTAGATTTAATAGGATCATTTTGGATGTTGTGTTGAGAATTTGTTTTTAAATACATGAATATGAAGATAAGTATACATAGAGACAATTGAATGAGGTCCTAGAAATGCTCAAAAAATTGTTTTCCCTCTATGGTTTGGTATTCTTATTTTTTTAATAGTGATTCTTAAATGTTTAACATGTATGCATCACTTAACAAAGTCAAAATTACTCCATATTTCTACTCTTCCCCAGGAATATAAGGACCTTAGAATAGTTCAGCTATAATCAGTAAGCTCTCCCATCTTCCACATGATTTTTGCCAAGTATTATAGTTCCATCCTGTATTTGAACTCCTTCTTCCTCGAACACTCTTCCTCCAGTAGCCATATGCGTCCCTCTTGCATCCCCTTCAAGTATTTGCTCAGAAGTCACCATCTCAAAGACATCCGCACTGATCACCCTATTTGAAATCACAACCTGCCCACCCTCACCTCCACACCCACCCCAGTGCTCCCAAACTCCTTAGCCTGATTTATTTTTTCCGTATATATTATCAGGTTTATCATGCTATAGAATTTATTTATTATGTTTATCATTTATTCTCTGCCTCCCTTCACTAGAATTCCAGAAAGGCAGATTGTTTTGTTTTATTTCTTATGGTTGTAATCCCAAGCATCAGAAATAACGCCTAGAATATAAGAGACACTCAAAAGTATTTAAGTATGCTAAAGATTATATACAATCCCTCTGACTGCTGTCTTGAGAATAAACTATAGGTTAGGAGCAGGAGAAGGAAACTCCACCAGGAAGCCATTGCAATTATCCATGAAATCAAGGAGTACCATTTCAAATGCTGAGCAGTGATCAAGTTCTAAAAATAAAAAGACAAAGGCAACAGAATTTGCTAAGAGACCAAAGCCTCCAAAGTTTGGGGCCTGAAATCAAAAAGATGAAGTTGTAATTAATTGAGATAGGGAAATTGTGGAAGGATCCAGATTGGGGTGTGGGATATGAAAAGCTCAGTTTGAACTCTGTAAGTAATGCTAAAGTCACATATATTGCAATTTTCCATCAGCGGAGGCTGACAAATATTTTCTCCACTACTCAATAGAATTTCCATTAAGATCCTTGTATTTTTCTCCCATTTTATAATTTAATTTTCTGCTTTCTTTTTTCTTTTTTAAGATTTTATTTTTAAGTAATCTCTATACCCAACATGGGGCTTGAACTCACAACCCCAAGATCAAGAGTCACATGCTCCACCGACTGAGCCAGCAAGGCACGCCCTAATTTTCTATTTAAAAATGGTAACTAGTTGCATCAAAGTTTTTTTTTAGTGGCAAGATTTATCGACTGGAATATTCAGTAGATATAAATATGTATTTACTTGAATTAAATGGCATTGTAAGCAACCTCAAATCATCAAATAAAGATATTTATTTGAAACACAGAAATACTGGAAAATGTCATTTAATGTCACACACACAAAATGCTGGTTTGTTATTAAATAACAACTGATATAATGGATTTAAAATATTAAGCTAAATGAAGTTGGTTTATATTGCAATGTAGGTAAAATAAGATCAAATGTACTCTGCCTTAGTCTTTAGAATGCCCACTAAAGCTGTCCTTTCTCAGAAGTTTACTAGTAACCAAACCCATAGGTTTATTCCATACTCAGATATCAAGTATGAGATTTTGTCCAGAGGAACTACTTGGCTGCACCTCTCTATTTTTATCTTTCTAGGCAGTCTGTCTCCAAATGAGAAAACAAATGCAAATTATTAAATGTTCCGCAAAGCAAAAATCACACTATGTGGAGTATACAAAATGCCTATTCTTGCTTTATTACCAATTTCTGGAGATATGGGCAGTATAATGCTGCAGTTTATTTAAAACAGTAAAACTATATATGAAAGCTGAGTATGTGTAACTAATATAGAGAGTTTTGTACAGGCCTGGTCCGTTTTCAGCATCTAATACATGTTGCCTTTTTACATAACACTGTGCCGCCTATTTGTTGCAATCTGGATTGCAATTCAGGGGCCCTCCGAAGTGATTCTGGATTGGGTCCGCAGAAAGCGCCCTGGATGGTTAAAACCCTGCACCAGACAGCGACTCAGGCTTTTCTCCTGTAGCCCAGGGCTTTGTGATGGGCTAATCCTGCTGCCTTGTCTTGCCTCAGGTTCTGGCCCTGCGCTCTGGGGGCCAGCCTGCTGAGCATCCCCACGCTGAGCTCGAGCTTCTGTGGGAGGATGGAGCCAGCAGAGAGCGTGGTCCTCAGGGGCCAAGGAAGATTGCCTGGCAGAACCGTTACTGGTCCACGCAGTCAGAGCATATTTTGCATCCCGCCATGGTTCTGAGGAAAAAACTGAGTTGCTTATGGACGTTAGGTCTCTGTCTGGTAGCCAGTAAATCGTCTACTAAAGTCCCCTCTATCGAAGACCAGAGTTTTAAAGACCAGTGCATCAAGGCTCATAACGAAATGCGTAGCAAAGTCTGGCCCCCCGCGGCTGACGTGAAATACATGGTGAGAAAGAACCGGCTGGGATCTGATTTCTCTGGTTCATCCTAAGGTATCTGGGAGCTAAATTTGATAGACTCATTTGTATGAATTTAATCTGTACTTTCAGCATGCAGTTAAGAATCACGCCTTAGCCGGGCTATCCTCCAGGATAGCGATAAGAGTGGACGAAAAAGGAAAACTTGAAGCTGTATCTTGCCAAGGCTTAGCTCCCTTTGG